TCTCTGAGTTGAAAGTCGCCATTTTCTGCTTGCTCGCTGAAAGTAATAAGCTCTTGTTACGTCAGCAATAACATTACTATTTAACAACACGTTGCTCGTGTTTGAAAAGGACACCTTTGTTAAAGTGTGTTGACGTCACATTCTATATAAATTCTTGAAGATACGAGATCTGAAAATTATAGCCGCCCATATGACAGTTAAGAATTTTATGAGCATATCAAAGTTATTTTTGACGTTCTCATGTAAAAAAAATTCATGTGTACATTTTTATATAATTACACTAGCTTTTGCCCGCGGCTTCGCTCGCGTTAAGAAGTATTATTCTTAATTAGGTATAGTTTTTGCGGCTTTACTTTCGTTTAGCGTGTGTAAAAAAATTAGGGCCTACAAAACTTCTTTGTACAACTATGTACAAAGGGTACAATATAATCCCCGCAAAAACTATACCTAATTAACCCCCGTCAAATATAATCCGCTAGAAATATTTAGGTATAGTATGTACTATTAGATACGGCGGCCACTCATCATCGGGTATATGTAACTCAGTGAAAACACAACGATGGCGCGTTTTAAAATACTACTAACGCCATCTATTGTCAACATTTAGAACTAAAAATTATGTTGTTCGTCTTAATTTATTCCTTCCATTAGGTACTGATAGGTTCAAACTAATACATTTACATCCCCCATGGGGGTTGAATTTATCAAAATCCTATTTAAGCGGACGTCTTCATCATAGTAGCTCCAATCTTTAATTTCAGTTCAATCAGTCGAAAATCTAAGAAGATTTATACAAACTTTCATCCCCTATTTTATTCCCTTAGGGGTGGAATTTATCAAAATCCTTTCTTAGGGGATGCCTACGTCATAGTAGCTTTATGCATGCAAAGTCTCAGCCCGATCGGTTTAAAATTGACAAAGTTTCATACAAACTTTCATCCCCTATTTTATCCCCTTGGGGGTAGAATTGATCAAAATCCTTTCTTAACGGATGCCTATGTCATAACATCTACCTGCATGCCAAATTTCAGCCCGATCCGTCCAGTGGTTTGGGCTGTTCGTTGATAGATCACTATATCAGTCACCTTTGAGTTTTATATATATAGATTCACACACGAGTTTTCACAATTTACTGTACAAGTTATACCTAATTTGTATTTTTTCTACATACATAATTAAGATGGTTATAGATAAATAAATAAATAAATATAACCTACATGTATATACAGCGTGTTTTATTGCACTTAAGACTGTGAAAATCTCGAGAAAAGAATGTCGTGAATCTTCCTCTTAGTAGTGTTTCAGTGATGGCAAAAACACGTGATGGTCTGATTGAGCATGAAGAGAGCTATAGAGATATTACTTTAACATCTGAAAGAGGAGTTCTCAAAGAGTATCCGCGAAGGTAGGAAGATGCAAATTATCAGGAAACAACACAACGTTGTTTCATGTGTTGTTACATCATATTCTTTCTTTCGATTAAATTTTAGTATAAAATATATAATTTATTAGATATGAGTAGTTTTGGATTGGTACAGAAACTGTCATTCCTGCGTGAGTCTAGCCCAAAAACTACGTAGAGTTTGATTATGATTATTATAAAAGTTATTTGTCATATATAAAATATATAATTTATTAGGTATGAGTAGTTTTAGATTGTTACAAAAACTGTCATTGCTTCATGAGTCTAGCCCAAAAAACTTTGTACATAATATTTTAAATTAAATATGATCAACATAAGTAATTATTAATTAAAAATGTAATTCATTATAGTTCGATTATTTTCTAAATTTATTTTATTAAAATTTGCTTCGTACGTGACAGAAATGGAATATTTACAGAAATTACTGTATTGTTTGTGAAAAACATGAGGAAAGTTACGAATCTTTCTTTCGTTTCTTTTAAAGTGAAGCTGAAATCAAGGTTTTGAATTTAGTAGAGATTGGTTTGAAGATTAAAAACTTATCAGAAGGATCAAGGAAATATGAGAAAACGAAAAGTAATTAACTTTTTTGTGCTTATTCTTTTGATTTTGTAAAGATGCCAGCAACTTAATTTTTGCCGGCTGCTGTAACTTTACTTGCTTTAACGTCTACTTCATTTAATACGAACAACTATTAACAGAAAAAAAGTTTTCACTCGGTAATAATCATTATGTAATAAAACATAAAAATCTATAAGTAAACTATAAAAAACGATTTGAAAAAATGTTTCAGATAAATTCTGCATAATCTTGGATTTAGACTGAAAATCTGTTATAAAAATTTAAACTTTCTTTTGAATTTACAAATTCGCCTTTCACCTTACGTGGAGAGAACTGGGCTAAATTCTACGGCGTTGAACTGCCTGCTGCAATATACTGAGGAGGCAGTTCACTTTTAAGCATTTTTTTTTGTATCATACGTATTTCTCGATATATTTCAAATTAAAGTTAAATGAAACGTATTGTTTAACAATATAGTAATAGGTTCTGTAAGTAGGGACAATTGAAATTAACATTTGTTCATAATCACACGCATTGAAATGCATTCACATCATTTCAAATAACTCATTTAAAAAAAATAATCTTTTTATTGCCTTCGCTCCTATTTTAATTAAATTAATTCATTTTACATGTTTTTTCAATAAATTTACGGCAAATGTAAGACAACAATAATAAAGTTCGAAATATATTTTGTTTATTTTAGTAATATTAAGTTACATTTATTTTCTAAATTAACAGAAAAATAATTATTACTGAGTGGAAATTTCCTTTTCTATAAACAATTGTTCGTATTAAATAAAGCAGAAGTTAAAGCAAGTAAAGTTATAGCAGTTAGAAAGAATAAAGTTGCTGGTATCTTTACAAAATCAAAACTATAAATACACAAAATGTAATTACTGTTCGTTTTTTCATATTTCCTTGATCTTTCTAAGAAATGTTTACTTGTCTAACAAATGTCTAGTAAATTCAAAACCTTGATTTCAAGCTTACTTTTAAAAATCAAAAGTCAGATTCGTAACTCTCCTCATTTTCTCATAAACAATAGAATAATTTCTGTAAATATTCCATCTCTATCACATACGAAGCAAATTTTAATAAAAGAAATTTAGAAAATAATCGAACTATAATGAATTACATTCATAATTATCGATTACTTATGTTGATCATATTTAATTTAAAATATTATTTCAATTGTATTAGAGTTGTTCAACTTTTGTACAATTACTTTAATTTTATTTATTAAATTCTTTGAATATGACAAATAACTTTTATAATAATCATAATCAAACTCTACGTAGTTTTTGGGCTAGACTCATGCAGGAATGACAGTTTCTGTACTAATCTAAAACTACTCATATTTAATTAATTATATATTTTATACAAAAATTTAATCGAAAGAAGGAATACGATGTAACAACACCTGAAACAACGTTGTGTTGTTTCATGATAATCTGCATCCGCACACTTTCGACAACACTATGTATGTTCTTTAGAAACTTCTTTTTGAGATCTGATAGTAAGTTAGACACATTTGATTTTACACGTGATTACATGTGATTTTATTATTAGTGCGCTTGCGTAGAGCATCGAGTTACGTATTTTCCTTTGCTAAATAAATGCGTCCCCGTAATTATTATGAGCTCTGGTGTACTTTTTAATATCTGAATACAATTTGCTAGGCGATTTCTTTAGTATTATGCATTTATAACTCAGTTGTACGAAAGATGTAATAGTTTTAATTAGCAATAATAAAAAATCGATTAATTTTGGTTTAAATTCAACAGTTTGAATTAAATTTCTGTTACCACAGCATTTCGCTTCGCCACCCCATTTAGAGTCGCCATCCATAGTTTAGGAAATACTCATCTAGAATATCGATGGTGATTTTTCCAATTTAAGCGTAGCGGTAGGAGAGAGTAGCCGAAAGTTGTTCGGGTATTTCGGAGAGAAACGTTACGATCTTTTCTTATTATATTGAAAAGCTATTATTCTTTTTACCCTTAACTAATCTGTGGCTCGTCAGCTAAACTCGTCTTAGGGTACGACTATGCAGACGCGAATTTAGAGCGAGCGATTTAGTTTTCGCAAAGGAAAACCATGCACAAACGAGAAGCGACAAATAACGCTAGCGAGATCGAATTTCTGGTTCTCGCACATATCTGACAAGTTTTGATACTTATCGCGTCTCGCCTCTTCTCGCCACATATTCTAACTTGCTCGGAAAATTCGCTCGCTCGCGTCTGTATAGTCGCACTATTATGTATAAGCTAAAAACTGTGTCGATTATATCAAGTTGACAGTATTCTGACCGCGAATCTGTAAAATGTAGGATATGGATGGGTGGGATAAAACGATTTGCACCAATTGTGGTTTGTTATCTGCGTAATTGGATGCAGTACTCGAAACATTTATTCCATATGTCATTTTTGCTTCAGCACGCATGATATCATTGTTTTTTTATATGAATGATGCTGAAAAATACATTATGTATTTTGTTATTACTGTGAACTTAGCAAGAGACAAAACAATGTTATTTGTCTAAGTTTTTCAACAAACATCACTTCATTCGCACTAGTGAGAGTTCGCGGTGCCACGTGCAGTCATGAAACGTGTTGCCGAAACACCGTGTCGGGTATAGTTTGCATCAGTTCCCCCACAATTGAGTTCCCCCACAATCAGTTCCAGTGCTATGATGAAAACCAGTACGTGCCGTGGCACGTACTGGTTCTCATCATAGCACTGGAAATGCGTACCGGGTTTGACCGTTGATCGAACATCATACTCCCAAATCACATGCTCTGTGTGTCCCGGGTATATAGTAAGTATCGTTTCCATGTCAAATTACAATAAACCTAACCGCATTATATTTTTTAATTATATAAGTTAATATATTAATTATTAATTATATAACTAATTATATAATTATATCCTTAGATTATAATTACCTTTTATTCGAAATATTTTGTAAATACTTCAAATCCTAGGTTAAATTATAGACACGCGAGAAAAAAATCATTACTGCATTTTCGGTTTGCTGCATGACGAGTTTACACGTCAAAGATTGGCACGTGTCATAGAAACTCTGATTGTAATTGGCATTTTTCCATGCTTATAGTTTTACAGATATATCAATATATACGTGGACAATTATTACATACACTAGAAAGTGCAGAGCCAGAAGAGTATTAACCATGTTTCTGTCGACTTTCCAAATTCTTTTAAGTTTTCTTATTATATCTTTCATAGTGATATATTCATTAGGAAAGAAATGGAGAAACAGAAGAAAACAACAGGAAAATAATATGTCTTCCTCTGCATCTGGAGGTAAGTAAATGTTTGAAAATATCGTTAATTTAACAAAGAAGAACTTTACAACAGTCTTCGGTTAAGTAAATTTTTCTTAGTTTTTTATGAAACATTTGGAGGAGCCACCTGTTGGCTACTCCAAATGTTGGTTCCTGGCAACATTTGGAGGAGCCACCTGTAATCTTATTTCATTTAAAAAATTTATGTTTTTAGCTATTATAAAATTGCAAAAAGTTAAATTTTAAAAGTCAGGATAGATGTTATAAAAAATTTAAAATATTAATAACCAGTAAAATTTTCATTAAGTTCGACCCTGCTAGAGATACACACAACCACTTCTATCTCCCCACTCCGTCGGCCCTTAACAACTAAAATATAATAGCATCAATCTACCTAAATCTCCGTGCAAAATTTTAAAAGTTTTTGACTAAATGCGTAGGACAGATAACACGCGATAACATCCATCCATAAAAATCCTCACGTTTTTATAAAAGGAGCGGTAATTTTTTTTTCTGAACTGAAAACGTGCTAGGAGGGCAGAGAATTGAATTTAATTACAATTTTCAAAACCACGTTATAGCCCATCTCAAATCCTGGCGGCAACATTCTATAAAGAGGGATTGCAAAGCGCGTCCAAAGATGTAAGAGATGCCTCGATCTTTCACAGTGATTATGTCAAAAAGTAACCGTGTTCGCAGCTAATTTCCAGTTATAAATTCATTTTGTTAATTACACTTATCTTTGTTTTATGGACCATCGAAGATTGGAATAAAACAGCGTACGTATGTACGGAAACTCTTCAGAGCAATAAGAATATTAATCATGTTTCTGTTGAATTTATTCCAAAATTTTGTAAATTTTCTTTTTTATTATTCTTCTACTGATATATTCATTAGTACAGAAATTGAAAAGAGAAGAAAACAACAGTAAAAACATTCGTTTTCGATAATATATCAAAGACTTTTTCTCTATCTGGAAATAAGTGAATGCTTAAAAGTATTTTTTTTAATTAAAATATATTCAATTAACAGCAATATTTTCTATAATAGTCGGCAATATTAAAATATGAAAAACAAAATGTAAAAGGCGAAAGAAAACGAATCCTGTATATCAATAATTAGTTGATTTAACGTCTTCGGAACCTTACCTAATGTGAGAATACGTGGGAGGTTGTTAGAACCCGTTAACCCGAACTCGTTAGAGATAGCGTTAAAATATAGGAGGGTCTTAAATGCGAGTTGGGGGTAAGTCGCGAGTAAGTTCGATCAGGGCCGGTATAAATTGAATGAGTAAACAGGAGTATTTACAAAAAACAGAATATATATACTTATATATATATATATATAAGTAGTTAGTAGTAGTAGTTAGTGTATTTAGTTGTTAGCTTATTTTCTTTGTACTTAGAATAGAATATATATATATATACAGTAGAGCGTCGTTTATCCGAAGGTCGGTTATCCGAAACGTCGGTTATTCGAAGGAATTCCAGTCGAAAAATTTAAATTTTCGCCAGTGCTGTGGCGCTGTAATCTTTGGCTATGTCTTCGGCTACTCAAATATTTTACGTTTTTGATACTAAATTAACATCTGAAGTATAATTTTTTATTGTTTTTATATTTTTCAATATATTTATTTTGTTTGTACAAAATAAAAAAAATAATTTTTAACGATACAATAGTCTTCGTTAGGCTTAACATCGACGAAAATTCAACGCGAAGCGACACGCAATGGAGAAAAATTTCAACACGGGATAAATTAATAAATTTTTTCGTACAAAATTGGTTATCCGAAAAATAAGTTATCCGAACAACCTCAGTCCCCAATTGATTCGGATAAACGACGCTCTACTATATATATATATTCTAAATACACTAACTACTCCTCTAGATATAAGAGAGTTTACGAATGAGTTTAAAACGATACGTCTGATCTGGTTGATTCTGCCTTTGGATATGGAGACGGGAATGGCCTGGAGTAAGAGTTGTATTATGCCGAAACAATTTCTATGGCCGTCTCCCCGATTTTGTGAACTTGACCTCTTTTTATCTCAGATTCTTTCCAATCGAGTTTCTAAATTTATAACATCTAACGGGATATTCTATTGTCTAACATGACATTTCTCCTGGCTCAGATGACAGATGTTTGTCAGAGAGGTGTCATAACATCTCTTTAAAAAGAAAGTTCTACTTTTTTTCACAAAAGGTGACAAATGTGTCACTTTTAGCGTTAAAATATTGCATTAAATTACTGATTAATTTTACAAAATTTTGAACTGATTAAATAAAATTGATTTTTACCTTCAATTTATCAAACATAACTTTCGTTTTTTTTTAAATTTTATGTAACAATTTTTGAATCAGTTTTTAAATATTCTTGAACTTTTTATATTATTATAGTTGTATACAGTATAAGCATGCGGGATTAGTTTCTTTTATTATTAATTATTATTAAATAATTATTGTATTGTAACATCGTCACAATGCCGGGATGCAATTCTTAATCATTTCTTAATACAGTAAAGCCTCGATTATCCGACCCAATTGAGGACTGGGGTTGGTCGGATAATTGAAAAGTCGGATAACCGAAAAGTATGAAAAAGTCCATTATTAGTGTAGTATATTATTATATCACATGTAATTAGTATATTAGTATATCGCTATTAACCTACTTCGCGTTGAATTTTCATCGATGTTAAGCCTAACAAATTTTTTTTAAAATAATAATCGTCGCTATTGTATCGTTAAAAATTAGAAAATTAAGCCTCGTTTAAATACGGGTTCCCTTTCATAGTCGAATGAGTGTTGCCAACTAAAACACGTAAAAATAATATTAAAGTAGCCAAGACGTAGCCAAATATTGTAGCGCCACATCACTAGCGGACATTTGAAATTTGCCGACTAGGGCGGTCGGTTAACCGAGGTGTCGGTTAATCGGGGTCGGATAATCAAGGCTCTACTGTATATTGAACTTAAAATATATATTTTCTATTTCAAATTAATAGTGTCTTGTACTCGTACATCATATTTTTCCAATATGCCAAAAAGTCGTGCTCCTCATGTCTTTAATTGCTGTCAGGAGAACAATTTAAATTAAAATAACGTGACTTTTAGGGTGATTATTAAATTTACATGCCACATTGTTAGGAAATTCCTGAACACAGACACTTACACACTTATTTAATTTTTGTTTTTTTTTTCTTTTTGGTTGCTATGCCTTGATCATGGTCCGGCATAGTACACAGCCACCGGTGTGAACCGAGTAACTCGCTAAACCCAACACAATAATAATAATAAGGTTGAGCTTCTAAAATTTATTTTTCAAATATTCAAAAATTATTACTTGAATTTGTAAACCGGTTCAAAGTATTGGAGAATGTGAACATGTTTTTCTATTTAGTTCTATTTTGTTTCAACAAAGAAAAAGCAAAAAGAAGCATCCAAAGTTAATTGAATCAAATCCGAAGCAACACTGCGCTAAGAGGAAAATTCAATATCGAGTTGCATAACTTTGCGGGCAAAATTTGGTGGCGCCATCTGATATGATATTTTATGAAAAAGTTTTTACATTTGTAACTACTGCATTATAAAATTGTAAGAAGTTTAAATTTGAAAGTACGGATGGGTTTTATAAAAAAATTTAAATGCTCTTAACGAGTTAAATAATTGTTTTAATCCCGAGGGCGATACTATTATTTTCCCACTTCTTCGTCTTTAACCACTAAAATTTAATATCCCTCTAATAAACAAAAGTCCCTGCCAAATTTCATAAATTTTTGATAGAAAGCACAAGAGTTTCAAAGAGGGTGAAAAAAATCGTTCCTACATACACGCCTACACTAAAAGACAGAAAAACTCAACAATGCTTTTTATTTATGTTATTATTTTCTGCATTTTTCTACGTTCTAATGTGTCGTGAGTCCAGAAATGTAAAAATCATGGACGTCGTTTTTTTACCTATTGCCATATTAGAATGCGTATGTTTGCTGCAAGAATATTGGCAATGTTTGGTACTACATAATAACATGAACAATTATTATCTTATTCAAAGAATAAAAAGAGTCCAATCACTCAATATTAATATAGGTGCATTTAATATCTACATTAAAAACATTAGTGTCACGAACAATTACACCCGACATTGATACAGCATTTTCTGTCAGATGCCAAGTTCCTAATAAGTTAGAAATATTTTTAACAGTTATAATAATTTTCTATTATGTCAAATTTTAAATTTTGTTTTGATATTTGATTAAAATAATACGTAAAAATAACATATTGTTTTAATTTTTTTCCCTTGAATTTTCTAATGGTAACTGTTTTATATGTTGATTAAGTAATGTCTCTTCAATTCGAAAGAAACTTCCGGTAGACTAGCTCACAGTCACAGTCAATTGGCTGTGACTGTGAGCAATGTTAATAAAGTTTCTACAGAAGATCTGGATTTTACGGCAAAATTACGAAAAGAAAATGACGATTACTTATAGTTGAATTTAAATAATACATTATGTAGGTACATCAAGAAGAATAAAAGTAGCACATATTTCATTTTAAACTACTTTTATTTGAAAAAAAATTAAGAAACATAAAATAATAACTTTCTCTTGTAATGCTGTTTTTATTTGACATACAACGATCACCTCGGCAAACGGTTTCCTGTACAAAACTGTTTTTATCAACTATTCCATAGTAACACCACACCGTGATCTTATATTTTTACTAAATGAAATTCTTTTTCTGCCATTCTCCTTTTTATTTTCCTATTCTAGTTTCAATCGAAAAATATGACTTTGCTAAATTATACCGAATTCCCCATCGGAAAAATACGCCTGTGAAATTGGTCGTATTCAACACAGAATATGGCTATGATTGAAAGTTAAATAGATTTATTCAGGTCTTGCAATATTTATTCAGGTCTGTATATGTGGAAGAAAAAAAGCAACAACAAATCGAGGAAGGAAATACCGAAAGCCACCACTTTGCCCTATTTTTGGAATTTGATTTTCTGTCCAGTAAAAGCGCAAGATTATCGGAAACTTTGTGGCACCTGTAAGTATAATTAAAAGGTATTAAATTATATGCTACGATATAATGTTATTTACGAATTTGTTTTCGAATAGCGATCAATAAAAGTTAATGCCCTGTTTAATAAACATTTTAGTTATAATTCAAGTATTGAGTTGTTTCTGTTTGGGATTCATCGAAGAGAAACTAATGAAAATTTCTTGGGGTGGCTATCATTATATTGTATTATCTCACCCCGAAGTGGCTCAGGTATACTTGCTTAATCATATAATAAGTGCTTTCTCATTTTAACAATTGATTATTTAATACAGGAAGTGCTAAAGAATTACACCGTGATCAACAAAGATAGAATTTATAATATTCTTCATCCGTGGCTGGGAACAGGTCTTCTCACAAGGTAAAACAATCATCGAATATTTCACATTAATACAAGTAATTTATTTATTTACAATCGAAACAGTTCGAACGATAAGTGGAGACATCGTAGGAAATTGTTAACTCCGGCATTTCACTTTCGAATTCTCGAAGACTTTCAAGGAATTTTCAACGACCACTCAAACATATTAGTTAAAAAGTTGAAAAACAAAAAGCAAAATGAAGAGTTTCTTATTGACGAGCTAATCAGACTGTGCACTTTGGATATTATTGCAGGTAAGAGTTGATTAAACGATGTTTACTTGCAGGAAAAATTGCCTTTTTACAAGCGTAAAAAATGTTTTAACATTTTTTTAAATAATCGTGAAAAAAATAAGGTTCGAAAATGTACTGAAAAATGAACGAGTAGTTGACAGTGTGTTTTTTAAACTTGTCTCTTCATTAAGACAATTTCGAAATGTTCTTGTAAATTAAAAATTTTCTATCAGTAGTAGTGGTTTGACACATACTAATCACAAAATTAATTTCA